TTTTCATGAAGTGGGATAAATGGTGGTTTAGATAACCTCCTTTTTTGTTTGTCCATTTCAAGGAAAGTTCTGATGATCACTTGGAGAGGGCTCCACCTATTGGAAATGGTAAAAATGATAAATTTCCTAAGAGGGCTGCTAAATTTGTTGCTGGTTCCTCCCCTTACTCTTATTGAACTAGTGTTTCTAATTTGTTCCAGTCCTCCTCCCTCCTCAACGGAACTCATGAGACTGTCAGCATGACCTCAAAAGCAAGCCCAGAATCACACAAATTGCCTGACCACACAACTGGAACAGCGTACATGGCTTAGGAGCATACCTGAGTGACCTGAGCACATGCTCTTCAGAAACTAAGCTTGGGGTTTGTGCTTGAAGTGGCTCAGGCATGATCTTGAGCTGTCTGTGCCGGGTTGTGACCTGTCCATAAAGTTCATTTTAAAAAAATGAAGCCATCTGTTGGCGGGAAGGAGGGGTGGGGAAACCTAAGCAACTTGAAAGTTCATCTGCAGGAATCAGCATTGAAGGACTGACTGAGCAAAGAAGAATTCTCTGCTGCCTGCAGGGAACATTCTGTCAGGGCTTTTTAGCCCCCAACCTCCCCAACCATGTGCTGCTGCTGGTGAAGGGTGCAGTCAAGGGTATCAGTATGGGAGTGAGTAGGAAACCCCTAGGGTGAGGGCAACATGGTGTAAAACCATTGTTGCAGGACAGATTTGCCAGGCCAAGAATTTTTTTTTTTTTTTTTTTTTTTACGGACAATCTGTAAACTTTTTAGTGACAGCCAAGCCTTTTTACTATGGTTCATGTTAAACCCCTGAGATTGAACCTGGCCCTAGGCCAGAGCATGGCAGAAGGGTGACATTTTTTGTTATATAAAACACATGTCAGTAAAAACATCTGTTAGTAAAAATGTTTGGTTGTCAGTAAAATGTGTGCAGATTGCCAGTAGCCAGTAAAATAAATAATGTCTTGGGTTGGCAACTATACATCTCTGTTACGTAATTTGGGGGTTTGGGAAGGGTTACAGATGGACAGGTCTTATTTCTTGGCAGTACCTCATGGTCATACTCCTGCATACACATATGTATATATGTAGGTATGGACACAGAACCATTCCCAAATGTCATTGATTAGGAACTGTTCACAACTGTGTGAAGTGCTATGGCTCTGACATCAGGGGGTAGGAGTGAGCACTCAGCCCAGCATTTTTTTTTCAGTGGGCAAGTGTGCAGGTACTTGCATGCTTTGGGGAGCTCCTGCCAGGGTGGGTGACCTCTGGCTGGGGACATTTTCACTGTTCATCTTCCCTTTTTCTCTTAAACAAGAGGTCAATAAACTTCAGTGACCTGCAGATGACTGAAGTCTGCAGTGTTCTTGCCTGACTTGCAGGAGGGAACACGAGAGAGGAGTGCCTTGGACCCATGGGCTGCCTATACACATGCTCGAGGGTGCTGTTTTAGAGTGGTTCCCAGACAGCCGCTCCATTTATAACAGCTTACTGTCACATGTATTAAATCCCTGCATGTTTCAAATGGCCACAGAATGGTTTATCTAAATCTCATTCAACAAGATTTAGATAAAGCACCCCCGTCGCCATTTTGAACCCTGTCGGGGCTTAATACCCATGACAGTGAGGCAATGCTGGAGCAGTCTAATTAGAACTAATCAAGAATTAGTCTTGATTAATCAAGTCTTCTCTGACACACAATTAGAATGTGAATGAGCACATCTCTAGGCACCCCCAGGTTTTTTTGGTTCCCAAAGGCTGTGGTAAAATAGGGAGTTTGGGACACAGCTGATTCGTTAGAAGAATAGCTTTTTATACACAAGCAGTGCAAGGGAGCTCATTGATAAAAAGTGCCAACGAAAGGGAAAAAAGTGTGCTTGGGTGCGGGGGGGAGGGCAGTAGAGTTCTGGCTGTGTACCATAGCAGCCAGTTGCAGCAGTGTGTGTGTGTGTGTGTGTGTGTGTGTGTGTGTGTGTGTGTGTGTGTGTGCTCTGCAGGAGGGGGTGTTATGCGTTGGATGCCTGGAGGGCACCAATTGTTCTGTAACGCACAGTGCCTGATATCTACATGTAGCACAAGCAGTTCACAGTGAAGTACTTGACCTTTCAGGTACACTTTTAAACTATTACAGGCAGATTTAAATTGGTTCAAGAGGCTTGCATGTCTGTCCACTTCTAGTTTAAGCTGCATTTAAACCATTTTAAGTGCTGTGTGTGTCCATGCCCTTAGCCTGCCCTAAGAACTTTCTTGTTGCTGTTTTACATAACTGCATTGTCACAGGCTACCTCTAAACATTATTTTTGCAGTGCTGTGAAGCTTGTCTATTGCAGAAATAGCAAATGCTATGGGCTACTGAATGTTCAGAGTCCCTTGGTTGGAGTGCAGCCAAGGTATGCTCTCAGTGATAGGGGCACCCGCTCCATAGCTCCACCCCCTGGAGCCCTATCACTGAGCTGGACAGACTCACTGACAGGCAAGGTTCCTGGGTGGCCCAAAAGCCCGGCTGGTCTGAGATTCTCCTGGAGCTCTTGAAAGGTCCTGGTATTTAATGGGCTCCTAGTGTTCCAACACCAGGAGCCCTTCACTGTTCCTGAGCTGCAAGAATCCTCTTATCCTTACTGCCAGGCAGCAAGGGTGCCTAGCAGTCTTTGAGACTCCAGTGGGTTCTCCACCCCCATCAGTCCCTGTCTCTGCCCAGACATTTAAAATGCGTGCCTGCATCCTGGGAGCTGGGAACGCTGATGATGGCATTCCCTGTTCCCCTTCTGCTGGTGTGCTGGAACATCTAAAGCATGTGCCTAGCTTCCAGACTGCAGATACACACTTTAAATGTCCTAGTGACCCCTCAGCATGAGTCAGGATCACAGGCAGCAGGGATTCCTGGCTCTTTTGCTGCCGGACC